ACTGGTGTCAGAAACCATTTTCGTGGAACCCTGACAAGAAGCGGGATGTTGGGAGAGTGGGGCGGAAGGATCGTGAGAACTGTAACCGTGTCGAGAGGAGCGCGGAAGCCCCAAGTGAGAGCGCGATTCTTCGATACATTGTGAGGAAGTATCAGGTTGGAGCCGTTGTTGTTGTAAACCGGGGGCCAACAACACAGTTTGACCCTCAAGACATTCCATGATAAAATACAGGGTGCGAGCCCCGGGAAGGGCACTTCAATCGAAAAAACAATGTGCACTGGACGGGGGTGATCAACAACAACTATTCAGATATGGAATCCCATCAACATCATCAACAACAACAACAAAGACATCAATACCTACATTGGGTTTTTTCTGTATGGATTGTCCCCCAGGAGCCTGGGGTGGCCGGGAAACCCGGTGGCCGGGGAAACCCCAGCCACACAGAAAAAGCCCGAGTGACTTTTGTTGTCTGGGGCTACCCCCGCCCCCTCGCGGAGCCTCTGGAGAACCAACAGAAAACCGGAATGAAAAAAAACAACAAAAAACAAATGACTTTTTTGGCTGTTTGAGTTCCCCCGCTGGAGCCTGGAGTGGCCCGACAATCATCGGAGAACCTTGGACAAAAACTAAAGGAACAACACGCATGTTTTTGTTGGTTTTCACCCTCGGAGCCTTGGGTGGCTGGGGAACCCCCGCCACACAGAAAAAGCCCGAGTGACTTTTGTTGTCTGGGGCTACCCCCGCCCCCTCGCGGAGCCTGCGGTGGCTGGAGAACCAACAGAAAACGGAAATGAAAAAAGAAAAAAAAAAAAAAAAAAAAAAAAAAAAAAAAATCGACTTGTTTTGCTGTTGGAATTCCCCCGCCGGAGCCTGGGGTGGCCGGAGAATCATCGGAGAACCTTGGACAACAACTCAAGGATTAACACGCATGGTTTTGTTGGTTTCCACCCTCGGAGCCTGGGGTGGCTGGGGAACCCCCGCCACACAGAAAAAGCCCGAGTGACTTTTGTTGTCTGGGGCTACCCCCGCCCCCTCGCGGAGCCTGCGGTGGCTGGAGAACCAACAGAAAACGGAGAAATGGAACAAGTCAACGATAAAACGTTTGACTTGTTTTGCTGTTTGAGTTCCCCCGCCGGAGCCTGGAGTGGCCCGAGAATCATCGGAGAACCTTGGACAAAAACAAAAGGAACAACACGCATGGTTTTGTTGGTTTCCACCCTCGGAGCCTGGGGTGGATGGGGAACCCCCGCCACACAGAAAAAGCCCGAGTGACTTTTGTTATCTGGGGCTACCCCCGCCCCCTCGCGGAGCCTGCGGTGGCTGGAGAACCAACAGAAAACCGAGACGAAAAACGTTTAAAAAAAAAAGTCTGACTTGTTTTGCTGTTTGAGTTCCCCCGCCGGAGCCTGCGGTGGCCGGAGAATCATCGGAGAACCTTGGACAAACACTAAAGGAACAACACGCATGGTTTTGTTGGTTTCCACCCTCGGAGCCTTGGGTGGCTGGGGAACCCCCGCCACACAGAAAAAGCCCGAGTGACTTTTGTTGTCTGGGGCTACCCCCGCCCCCTCGCGGAGCCTGCGGTGGCTGGAGAACCAACAGAAAACCGAAATGAAAAAAAACAACAAAAAACGTATGACTTGTTTTGCTGTTTGAGTTCCCCCGCCGGAGCCTGGAGTGGCCCGAGAATCATCGGGGAACCTTGGACAAAAACAAAAGGAACAACACGCATGGTTTTGTTGGTTTCCACCCTCGGAGCCTGGGGTGGCTGGGGAACCCCCGCCACACAGAAAAAGCCCGAATGACTCTTGTTGTCTGGGGCTACCCCCGCCCCCTCGCGGAGCCTGCGGTGGCTGGAGAGCCAACAGAAAACCGAGACGAAAAACGTCAAAAAAAAGTCTGACTTGTTTTGCTGTTGGAGTTCCCCCGCCGGAGCCTGGAGTGGCCCGAGAATCATCGGAGAACCTTGGAACAAAAACAAAAGGAACAACACGCATGGTTTTGTTGGTTTCCACCCTCGGAGCCTGGGGTGGCTGGGGAACCCCCGCCACACAGAAAAAGCCCGAGTGACTCTTGTTGTCTGGGGCTACCCCCGCCCCCTCGCGGAGCCTGCGGTGGCTGGAGAACCAACAGAAAACCGAGACGAAAAACGTCAAAAAAAAGTCTGACTTGTTTTGCTGTTGGAGTTCCCCCGCCGGAGCCTGGGGTGGCCAGAGAATCATCGGAGAACCTTGGAAACAAACAAAAGGAACAACATGCATGGTTTTGTTGGTTTCCACCCTGACCCTCGGAGCCTGGGGTGGCCGGACGACCCCTGGACAACCTCCGAAACAACACTGACAAAAAACCCGCCACTCGGGTTATTCTTGAGGGCTTTCCGCCTGGAGCCTGCGGTGGCCAGATAACCCACGGAAAAGACCATAGAAGAGCGCGCAAACAAAAACTAATGGGTGTTTTTTAGGGGGTCCCCCTCGGAGCCTGTGGGGAAAGGGGCCGGGGAACCCCCCGAACAACTTCAGAACGCACGCATTACATTTGGAATTCGACCACAAAAAAACCGCCCGCAAGAAACCCAACCATGAGACCCCTGGACCTCCAATGTTTTTGTTGTGGGAACGTCAAGCTCTCCATAGCAAAACTATCAAAACCAAGGAACCTAGGGCACCCTGGAGGCAAGCAGGGTGATTTCTTGGCATGGGTTGGCACTGTACAAACATATAGAAACACCAGAAACAAGCCAGAGAACATACAATACAAAATTGGATTCGGGGGTTCCCGGGGGGGTCGGTGAATTGCCATAACCCCACAAAGGGTCTTTAATAAGCCCCCTGGCACTGATGGAAAATAAATAATTTGTCCGCCGGCTTATTGACGGATTGGGACCCCGGCAATAGTTGGAAATTACGTATTCTAGTCGGCGGATGCATGAGAGGTCATGAGAAGTGCTCAAAAATCCCACCGCTCAACGCCTGGCGGCCTCCTCCTCCTTTTCCTCCTCCTCCTCCTCTCCGACACACCACCGCCACCGCTGCGGAGGAGAAGGACGGAGGGGAAGGAGGAGGGAGGGGAAGGAGGAGGAGGAGGAGGGACGAGTTTCTATTCCCCGCCGAGAGCTTAAGAGGGGGCGGCATCATTAAAGACCCTCTGCGATTACTCTACTGACTCCTGACCCTACGTGCGACTGCCGTCAGGATTCCGTCAACGAGAACTGTCACAAGCCAAGACCTCATGGACCGGCCAGTTCTCGCAACGTCGCCTCACGCAGTCCTGCGCTAGTACGGTGATGAATCTTGGCTCGTGCATCAAGAGATGTACCGCATCGCTATGTCGACGCGACGGACACAATACGCAGAATCGTTGAGAGCACCGCGTCAGTCGCATTGAATCACAGGCATCCCTGCTGTCCAGGTTCATCTGGCTCATAAGGACAAAGCTTGCTCGCGGACGCCACTGCCGATGATCCAGTGTCGCCAGGGCTCGACAGCAGTAGGGGCGCCCTTCCAACAGCGACACCTCCAGACCCTCGCCCATCGCCTGCGACTCGCGCCTCCCTCGCCGGCGGTGCCAGCTCGTCTTCGGCGGCGTTCCGCTGATAGCACGCGGCCCCTGCGTCGGGCAAGGGCCGCGCGACTCTACCTCCGCACACTGGCCACCGACCGCAGCGAGGACGAGTCCGACGTCCTCGGCGAAGGCCGCCTGCGCCGCCGACGATCACCTCCGCCTGCGGCCTGGCTCACCGGGCCTGGGGGCGTCCAAGAGGGGAGCGTCCAAGAGGGGGAGGGCGCAAGTCATGGCTGGCGGCATGTGCGCGGCCCAGGGGTGGGCCAGGGACGTATTGAGATAAGAAGAGGCGCCACGAGACCTGGGGAGATGTCGTGCCCCCCGCCATGATATCCACACACACACACACACCTTTAGCCCCACCCCCCCTCGTTGCCGCCCCCGACTGGCCAGCCCGCGGCGAGCCCTCGGCCGGCGTCGCTCACACTACCCGGGCAGGCGCAGCTTCTAGGGGAACGAAAAGTGGCATAAACATAAAAACTCGGAGGTCGGCGCGGATTTCTCGGATCGGCGCTGGGGCCCCCAAGCGGCGCCTCCAGCGCCGCCCCTGGCGCGCTCCGCGCGCCAGGGAGGGGGATCAGACGCCGATCCGAGAAAACCGCGCGGACCTCCGAAATGTTATGTTTGTGTCGCTTTGTGCTCCTCTATCACACTATCCGGGCAGGCGCAGCTTCGCGGCCAGGACGAGCTGGTGGAGGAGCTCCCACTGCTCCAGCAGGCCACCAGAGGAGCGCCGCTGGCGCAGGGCGGCCCTGACGCCGTCCAGCCGGCCGTCGGAACCGACTGCCAGCGCGTTGGACTGAACGCTGGCCAGCATGGTCAGCAGCGCGAGGAGATTGGCGACCCACTCGTCGTCCAGGTCTGGTGCGCCCTGGCACAGGTCGTCTAGGATGCGGGTAATCATGTGTGGACCGGCCTTGATTTTGTTCTGGTCCAGTGCGCAGAGCTGTTTCAGAGCAAAGAACACGTTGGAACTGAGCTTGGTGCCGATACGGGCCACATTCCAAAGCCAGATCAAGGCAAGTACGACTGGGTACCTGTCCGACATCAAGGCCAGTGTCTCCTTGTCGTTGCATAACTGGCCGATGATCGAAGCACTTTCGCTCAGCAGAGCATGCTTGTGGCGATTCTGGTACGCCGACAAGAGCAATCCCACGACCTGGGGCAGGCCCCCCGCCTTGAGCAGCAGCAGGCGGTGGTGCGGGGCCTTGGTGAGATTGACCAGCAAATACAGCGTGTAAAGGCTGAGCTCGTCGTCCCGCACCTTTAGCTGCTCAACGCAGATCTGGATGACCCCCTGCGACGCCAGGAGCATCTTCGTAGCTGCGCGTTCGCATGACATGTTAACCAGAGCGGCTGTAGCGCATGAGGCCAAGACCACATTGGAGCCCTTCATTACTTGCAACAATGCTGGGACAAGCAGGTGTAGGCTCTCACTATCGCACCTGCATGAAATATCCAGAACGAGCTGGCATATCATTGCACGGAAAGAGTCGCTGACAAACGTACAGCCCAGAAGAACTGCAAGGAACGTGAAATCCGCCATCGTGCCATAGGCACTGAGTGGAGTGACCTCGTGTCCCTCCGTCCACAACGCTGAATCTTGTGAGTGCCCCTGTATCTCTTGGGCGTTCCTGGGCGCTCTCGCGCGCTCTCGTGCCCTGGGTCGTCTATAGTGAGTGTCCCGAAGCAGTGGGGACGTGGCCGGGAGCCCGTACGTCCCATGCGTCATCCGAATGACCTCGCGGAGCCGTCCTGGAGCTCTCCAGAGGGCCTCGTGGGCCGTCTCGGGGGTCGTGGGAGTCGGCCCAAGAGGTTAAACCATTGGACAAACTGAGATCTTGAATGATATTTCGCATGACCGTCCTCTTGGTCCAAAGAGCATCCAAGACGGCCCAGGGGACAGTCCCTAAGCCCCAAAATAGGGACCCAGGAGGGCCCCAAGAGAGGCCCAAGGGGGGGGGTAACTCGAAAGGGCCTGTGGAGCCCTCAACCCAGAGGTGGCCCCAGAGAGCGCCTCCGTGCCTCCACGAGGCGCCCAAAAGGCCCCGGGAGGCTCCCGGGAGGCCCCCGTGCGCCCAAGAGGCTCCACAGGCCCGCAAGAGGACTTCCAAGGGACCCCAAGCAAAACGCCTCCAAGCGGCCACATGTCCACGACCCAGACAGGGTTGCGGAATGGGCCGAAGACTGGAACAATCGACCCGTATCAGAAGGACGCGCAATAAGGATGCAAGGGCCTTGGAAGGCCGTTTCGAAGCTTTTCGAGCGGGGCGCCGCTAACGGAAGTGGCCAAGGATGGACCAAGGAGACATGGATGCAAGGGTACCCTTCGGAACATGGCCTCATCCTTACTATGCGGGGTGACTGTCGTTCAGCCGCCCTCTGTTGGCTTGCCGCCGGGAGTGCCTGGCGTGCTGAATATCTTGTGGTGTTTGGTTTGGGTTATTTTCCAAGAGCACTCCCCAACAACAACAACAACAACAACAACAACAACAACAACAACAACAACAACAACAACAACACCAACAACAAAGGTCCGACCGGACGCCCGAAGGCGTCACGCCCCACTCGTGGGGACGGCGAAACTGTAAAACAGGCCTGCCATGACGAGAAAAGCTGGCGGCGAAAGAATAGCAAAGTTGGCACGTTGGCATAAGCATTCCATGGGTTTGCATGAATGAAGTGGCCCATGCTGGAGAGCAAGTATGTCGAGTACGAGTACATGAATAGCTAATTTCCATCGCCCTCCCCTCTCCTCCCCCTCCTTCTCAAGCACGCCTGTCAATACCATATCCTGCGTTGTTCTTTCTCCGCCAGAGAACCCCCCCTGGGGCTTCAATTCCATTGCGCCGACCACAGGGCCGCACAATCAGCCGACAACAATGGCACACTCGCCTCAAAGACAATCAGGATGGCGCCCAAGATGGCCTCCAGGATGCCTCCCCGACGGCCAAGATGGCCTCCAAGGCGGCTAAGATGGCCCCAAGATGCCTCTAAGACGGCCCCAGGTGCACCCCAGACGGCCTGAGATGGCTTCAAGAAAGCCCAAGCCAGCCCAAGAGGCCCCCCAAGAGCCTTCCAAGACGGCCCAAGATGCCTCTAAGAGGTCCTCCAGGAAGGCCTGAAGAGGCAAAAGCCATCAATTGTCATAAAGTATGTTTGAATTGGCTACTTTTCGGCACTCCAAAGACCCAAGAGGCCCCCGAGACGGCCCCAAGAGGTCCCAAGACGGCCCAAAAAGCATCCAAGACACCCAAGATGTCCTCCAAGACGACTGTGAAGCACCCCAAGAGGGCTCCAAGTCGGTTCAGAACGGCCCTCAAGACAGCTCCCGACGGCGTCAGACGGTCGGCAGGATGCCGCAAGCCTCTCGAATAAGTATCAGCAGGACACCCGTTTTGAAACATCTCTCTTTCCACCGAACCCTCTAGCAAAAGCACCGCCATGACTCGTTCGTTAAACCGGTAAGTTGTGAGTTCGCCCGGCTTCAGCAAAACCGCATTGCCTCTGATGTATGCAATGCCTGCCCTGGATGCTGTGAATTCCGCTATGTCGCAACTCACCGTCTCCGATGTCGGAACTGTCTGGAGGAGAAATTGAATGACGGACCTGAGCCTCTCCACGGTATCCTCATCCTGGCAACTTTCCCTCCCACGGATGAGCTTCCTGAGAGTGAACCTCTCTCCCAACAGACCCCCGTCGACGCAATAAGAGAAGTACCTCGCAACCCGGTACGACCACATGTTTTTGCGCCCTCTTGGGGTGGGGAGCTTGGTGAACAATGATAACGAAGAACCCTGATTCTCTGAACACCTCCCTGGACCCAAAAACATAGGAGAACATGCAGTCTGAAGTGGCCGACTCGCCAGAGAGGTTCCAGGACCCGAGCTAATATTATCATACTACTTTTGTTCATCATGCTCCCCAACTGGCCTCTACCCAGTGGCGCCTCACCTTGATCCGCTGCGATCCCGAGTAAAGGCTCTGCGGATGCAAACAACTCCGCCGGGGCTTGCATTGGCTCGTGCAGAACCGGGACGTCCTGGAATATGTCCTCGTCCAACATGTCTTCGTCGCCAGGCAGCAGGCTCTGAGATACGAGCATGTGCACGATCGACTTCACGAACCGCACCGCCTGCTCCCGGTGGCACGGCACCATGCCGCAGTGCCCCTCCAGCCAGAGGATCTCTTCCTCTGAGCAAAGGAGAGAGTCGAGCCGGGCCTGAATGATGTCCTTGTGCACGTGCTTCACTTCCTCAGGTTTACCGCTCCACAACATGATTGCGAGCTTTCGCGTGGGGCGATGTCAATTCAGGTCACCGCCCGATACAACGATGCAGAGCGAACATCTGATCGCAGGTCGGAACGGAGGCTCACCAGATCGCGAGTAGTAGTGGGACAGTGAGGAACTGCAGCAAGACCAGGACCAGAATCACGACTAGGAACAAAACGAGCAGAGGGGAGAAAGTGGGGAGGATCATCGGGATGAGGAGAACCAAGGAGAAGAGGCAGAGGCGGAGGGTGATGGAGGGAAAAAGATCCACGGAAGGTGGAGAAACACTGCAAAGGCAAGAAGCCGGCCGACATGCTCTCTAGAGAAGAAACCTACTTTCACCGCACCAAACCGGGATATGATCTGGCGCTCTCGAGGGTAAAGTCGGTACCCAAGAAACACACCAGTCACACGACGCAACACCACACACCAAGCACACAACTTCAACAAAATACCAAACACTCACCACCAAACACCAAGCACGCAACTCTGTCCACCAACACCACAAGACACACACACACAAACACAGACGTGACACGCCACATCGCGCCCTCTTCCCCTCAGGCCTGCCGTGTCCAAAAGCTGGTTTGACGCGCAACGCATCAACAATCCTGCCAATGTCAACGTCTTCCGCACTGGCGACTCGACCACATATAAGCACGTCAGGCCTGACCTGCTCAATGCTGGGCTTTACGCATATCACGGGAGAGCTCGGGGCTGGACGTTTCCAACGCTGGCTACTGCACCTAGCATGACGACGCCAGGCCTGGCATGTGCAAATGGTGGCTTGCGCACAGCAGGCTACCGTCTCAGGTCTGATCCTCCCATACTGGCGCACGCACGCCACACACATACCAGGCTAGGCGTCTTCAATGTTGGCACTTGGGCAGCAAATGAATATGCCAGGCCTGGTTTGAATACCTGAAATCCGAAGCTTGGCCACGGTCGCCTGGTCGTTCACAAGACGGGGGAATTCTACTCAAGGGGTTTTTACAATAACAGAATTTGCAAAAATGCCCCATGCGTCCCTCGAGTGTGCAACGACGTCGGTCAAAGACGTTGCTGATAGGAGGAAGGATGAAAGCCCAGTGCAAACCACCTAAGACCCATCAACGATGTTGGAATATAACCTACCTCCGAGCTGCCTCTCCACAAACCCCATACAAAGATTCTTTTCCACTGGGGGGAATGCCGGGATGGGAGACAACCGTTTGAAGATCTTGCAGCGTGCTTAAACACCGTTGTCCCGACGTCAACTCCACAACGATCCTAAACCGTGCTAGAAAACCATTCCTGGGACTTCAAGACCGCGAATCGACTTAACATTTGAGCCCTGAAAATCCTGGAACCGTTCCAAAACAGCATTCCTGGTACGCTGACCATGAGAACCAACACAACTCTAATAAACTTTTACAACGACTGAACGCGGCACAGAAGCGAGAACCACATTATGAAAACAACTGCCCTCATTCCACGAACATCTTATACTTGCTTAGACGAATGTGCTCGGCGCTAGAGCGAGAACAACATCTTGAAAAAGAGACACCCACCATCCGTGAATTTCTTGTTGAATGAATGTGCGCGGCGCTAGGGCAAGAACCTCGTTTTGAAAACCACCTGTCCTCAACTCGCTAAGGCGAGAACCACATCTTGAAAATGCCTCGCCCTCAATCCGTGAAACTCTGTCAGCAGTTTGAAACGAATGTGCGCGGAGGAACAGCGAGAGCCACATGTTGGAAGCAACGCGCCCACCATCTGCGAAACTGCTGCCAATTCTTGCGCTTGAGGCCCAGCAGTGGTAGGACATCTCGCGCGAAACGCCCGGCTCGCTGACGACTTGGAATGGAGGTGGCATGACGAAGCTGGCAGGGGGGGGGAGGAGGAGGGGAGGAGAGAGAAGTGGAGGAAAGAGGGGTGAACGCGAAGCGGAGGGAACCGAGAGAAGATGACGGAGGAATATAACAGTGCCACGGAGAAAGAGACCAGTGAGGAAAGAGGAGGGAAGAAGGACTCGGGAAGGGGCAGGGAAGGAGGCACGAGGCGTGAAGACGAGGAGACGGACGACGATGACGACGACCGCGCATAGGACCTTTGCGAGACTGGTGCCTCCGGGATGGCTCCTTGAGGGCCCCCCCGGCTCTAGAGAGGCCGAACATAAAACCTGCAGAAAACTGCACATGTTTCCTAACGGACACAACAGACCTCCAAGATGACGCTAACGACCCCCGATAGGTTCCTAGATGTCGAGCCTCCCCATCACTGCTCCCGTGGTACCGTCGTTTGCCTCACTGCCACACAACTACACGGCATACCTGAGTGCATTCGGCGATCGGACGAAGGTGCATGGAATGCATGCAGCGGTACAGCGCACACCTGCGAGACGCGAGACTGTCTGCCACCGCTTCCGGCAGGTCTTTGTCCATTCGTGGGGTCATCTTCGGCTCGCCCAACGAGAACCACAACTGCGAAGAGTCTTGAGCAGCGGGGGAGGGAGAAGTTAACGCGAAGAGGGGAGGGAAGAGAGATGATGAAGGAAGGAGGAAGGGGGATGACGGAGGAGAAAGAGACGAGGGATAAAGGATGGAAGACGGAGGGAAAGAGATGGATGGATGACGGTGGCGAGAGGGAGAACATGAGGAGAAAAAAGACTACGACGACCGCGCCTGGAATCGCTGTCAGATTTGGGGCACCTGGATAAATCGACAAGTCTGAACGGGGTTCGCACTGGGAGCATGCTTGCACAGAGCTGAAAAACCGCTGAAACATGCAAAACCTCAGTACCGTCGCGCATGCCTACCACCCCGAAGCCCAAGCCGTGCTCACAGCCCACTTACGATGAGGCTGCTCCCGACGGGAGCGAAGGATCGAACCGAGTCTCGCCGCGCTGAGGCTCGACTGAGCGCCACTCGGCCACCGGCGCAATAGAGTCCGCGACGAAACAGCACTCCTGACGGGAACTGCGACTAACTGGTAGTAATCCGAATGACCACCCCTCTGGGGCCATGAGGCTGAACGGATTCAGCTTCAGCAACTGGGCAATTTATCTTGCACCAGTTCAGCAAGCCAGTTCGCACCATTGCAGCTCACTTAGAAGTTCGACATTCTGGGGTTCGTGATCTTCTCTGAGCTCAATCCGAGATTGATGGCAATACCTGTTGCCAGTTTTGCAGCTGGTGAGATGACCAATTCTCGCCAGGCACGCTCGGGCCCCGAGGCGGCCCCAGAGGCCACCGCGGGGGTGACCCCAGAAGGCCCCCTCCGAGAGGCCCCCCAAAGCGGGGCCCCCCAAGCGAGGCCCGGAAGACGGCCCCACGGCAGCTCACAGGAGGCCGCCAGCCCTGATCTTCCAGGAGGGCTAAAAGATAGCACGCGGCCTAAAAACCTATCCCAGAGCTATTCAATGTCCTGGTTTTAGACTGTTTCGTTTCGTTTTTTAGGTTTTTGGGCATCCCGTGCTCAAACATAGCTCTCTGGAAGGTCAGGGAGGGCGGCCCCCCAGACCTCCGCCCTGCGACCCCAGAGCGCGCGGGACCACCGCCTGCCCAGAGAGGCCCCCGAGACGGCCTCTCCGAGGGCCAAGAGGCCCCCCCTGGAGGCCGCCGGAGGCCCCAAAAGATGCCCCCTGCCCCAGGAGGCCCCAGAGAGGCCCCTCGGAGGCCCCCGAGAGGCTCCCGGGGAGCCCCACAGGAGCCACAAGGCGGCCTCGAGAGGCTTCCTCTTCCTCCGCCCCCTCTTCCGCATCCTTCTCCACTCTGTTGTCCCACTGTCTACTTCTCCCCCACAGATTCCCCCAATAGGGTTCAAGTACGGCAGGGGGAACACATAGTCCACTAGATAGCTTGGCTCAAAGAATAGCCGCATTGGCGTTTTCGAAAGGCGATGGGCGACGGAGGCTCGCAGTAGACATCCCCGATAATTGGGCAATGTCTATAAACGTGTTCTAGGAATCTCTGAGTGCCATGGGGCACGCGACAACCCGGTAAGTCCGCGATGCCAGAACCACGACCCTTATAAACAAACATGGGCCCGCGATCCTGGGGTCGCGATGCCACCGCAACATGATTGAGTGTCACCGTGGACCCTAAACAATGGGTGCTTGCCCACTCGATGCACATGTTGTGCACAATGATTGTGGTCTAGGGAATGCGACCTAGAGTGTGCAGTATACGTGGTGTTATCAAATTTGCATGCTTCCAATCGTCAAATCCAAAAGGCTCGAATATACATACTATCCAGCCTTCCGCAACTGGTACAATGATGCAGGGACCGCTGGTATGCTGATAAATGAATTGTGCGGGTGGGTGATGCTGGTGAATACGACATCGGCGACGACGGCGGCCAGGACGTGGTAGTAATCATGACGAGGACGACGGCAACGACGATGACGATGAGGATGGCAACTGTGGGGCCGTGCCCCCATCTTTAGCCAGCCCGCCAAAGCAGCCATCCAGCCATCCAATCAGCAAGCCCGCCTGCCAACCAGCCAATCAATTCGTTGATGGGCAGATAGATAAATGATGTTTAGGGTCAGTTAGAGGAAAGAGAACTATGCACATACACCGATTCTCGCCAGGCCCATCCTGAGCACAGGATCGGTGCATACGCCCTCTGCCTTGGCCAGAAAGGTACATGCCCCGATACTGGGTCCAGCATGGGCCCTGCCAGGATCGGTGCATGTGTATAGTCCTCTTCGCCCGATGAGTGGGACATCAATAGGTTTAAGTCGGCAGTGTCCCCCTACAGGAGGGTTGTCGACGAAAAATAACACGTACCCCAGAAATACCCCTAAAAGGCCAAACAATAGTAAAAAAAACAACAACAAATACTCAACAGATAATCAAAACATAATCCAAAAAAACAGGCCCGACTTAACAATGTGGGTCACCAACGTGGTCGGCCTCAGAGCCGCCGACAGCGCCCAGCGGTGCGGGCTGCCGAGACGGGGCTGCGCGGCGGAGGGCGCAGCCCTGCAGAGATATCTCGGCCGGGCCCTTCCTCGGCGCCCCGGCCTCGGGACCCGCGCGCGCCGGGCGCCGACCGAAGGGCCAGGCCGGCAGCACGTTGCAGTTGGCATGTCCCTGCTACACGCAAGAGTGACCATGGGTAAGAATGAACTTTGGTGCGCGGCTTTTTGGGGGCCGCGGGGGGGCCCAACACAGGCGCGCAAGACACTACTATCGCATCGCGTCCGGCCATCTGGGGGCCCATCTGTGCCCGCACCAAAGGTCACTCTGGCGAAAGGTCACTCTTACGCCTAGCCGAATGTCCCGACCTCTCGAACCACATCGCACATGCTCTGCGTCACAGCCGCCACGTCCAGGGCGTCGACGGGGCAGCGCAGAGTGACCACGACATCCTGCATGGTGTCGCACAGGGGGGGGATGAACTTCCGCCGGAGCACCACACATGCCAGGAGGTGCCGCTTTGACCGCACCAAGAACTCCCACCCATCCCAGGCTGCAATGTCGCCCGTGCGGTTCATGCGCTTCAAGAACGGGCGATTCACACGCACGTGGAGCTGCTGCAGCTCCTTGGTCAGCAAGGTCCTGTACTCTATCGCCACCGTTCGCAAGTCCTCATGCCCGCCGCTCACGAGGCCTGCGTGCCTGCGAGGCTCCTCTGTGTAGATCCCGATCTCGACTCCCCCAGGCAACTCGATGTCCTCGGCCGCATACCTGACCGACCACCCGGGCTCGCAGATGAAACGCCCGCACCTGGAGGCCTCCTAGATGAGGTCGGAATAGGATAATGCCACATCGCCGACACATCGGCGATGTATCGGCGATGTGTCGGCGATGCACCGGCGATGCAGCGTCGACATCGGCGATGCATCGGCGACGTCGACGTGAAGCAAATCGGGCTCCACGTCGAGCCATATCGGCGATGCATCGGCGATGCGGCGCGATCCTCCGACCCCATCTACTCCGACCACATCAGGGAGGCCTAGAGGGGAGCGGGACGACGACGAGGACGACGACGACAAGAACGAGCACGAGGACGAGACCGAGGACGACGACGAGGACGACGACGACGACGAGAACGATGACAAGGACGAAAACGAGGACGACGACGAGGAGTACGACGATGACGAGGACGAGGACGACGACGAGGAGGACGAGGAGAAGCACCGGCCCCTGCTCTTGAAACCGGCGCGGACGAAGAAACTGTAGCCCCTCCGGCTCTCCTGCACGTACCCCCGGAAGGGCTCCACCTGCGGCAGAACACGGCACGCGAAGCCGTCGCCCGTGCCCCGCAGCCCACTGGTGATCGAGGCCCGGGCCTGCAAGGAGGATGATGATGAGGAGGAGGAGGAGCGGGAGGCGAAACAACGCCAAAAATAAAAGGCAAACAAAAAACACCCCCCGAATGGCCACCTCGACAAGTGAAGACGTTTCGTGAACGCACCCGAAGAAGGAATCGAACAGGGGAGGGCTGTTCAGCAAACGCCCAGGGCCGTTTAGCAAACGCCAATTATCGGGTCTGGGTGGTTACTCTTCTCTTGAATAAACATGCACTTTTGGCGCCGAGCGCGGGTTTCTTGGATCTGCGCCGGACCCCCCTCCCTGGCGCGCAAAGCGCGCCAGGGGCGGCGCTGGAGGCGCCGCCAAACAGGGTCCGGCGGAGATCCAAGAAATCCGCGCGGAGCGCCAGCAGTGCATGGTTCATGGCGTCTTGTTCTCTTCCTCGATGGCCTGTGGCAGCCTCCTGACCTGGAAGCGCTCGTGCATCTGCTGCGTCTGCCAGCACAGCGCCAGGCGCTCCAGGAGCAGTTCGCGCTGCTGGCTCCTCACCAGCAGCCTGTCGCCGCCGCGCCACGTCGTGTCCTGGCCGGGGCGGATGACCACCAAGAACAAACTGCGCGACGCCTCGTCGACCACAGCCCGCTCGATGTCGAGGTTCGAAGACGAAAAAACGCCATCAACATAAACTTTGGACGCTCCGCGCGGATTCCTTTCGGCGGTGGACAAACCTCCCTTTAGCAAACCTCCTCTTAATGAAAACGGCCTGGGACGGAAACCGACGGACCTGGACCCGCAAACATGCCGGCCGCGACGCCCTCTCGCGAACCGAAAACGGCCAATTCCTTAATCGACGTGTCAGGGTAGGAGGTCTGTCCACCCCCGAACAATGGGCCCACCAGGCGGCGCCTCCGGGGCCGCCCCTGGCGCGCTCCGCGCGACCCAGCAGGGGGGCCCGGTGCAGATCCAGGAAGCCCGCGCGGAGCGCACACCGTTTGTGCTTGTGGCGTCTTGTCTTCCTCTGGAGGTACGGCAACTTCTGGCCATTGCACAATCTGTGTATCTGCTCCGAGACGAAGAAGATGCCGACCAGCCGTAATTTGGGGAGCTGTGGTCCTTACCCCCCTGGGGGAAGCCATCGCAGCGACGATCTCTCGAGAGGGGTGTCGAAATCGATGGGTCCCCCAGGGGGGTAAGGACCACAGCTCCCCAAGTTGTGACTGGCCTGAGATGTGCTGCCTGCCGAGGCAGAGGTACGCCATCGAGCCAGCGCCATCGCCGTCGCCGTCGTCTCCGACCACCGCGACCAGCTCGAACAGCTGCAGGGGTGCGCCGCACACTTCAGAGAGGCTGCCGAGCACGACAGGGTCAGTCGACATGACGGCCTGCTTCTCCAAGGTCGATGGACAGCCGAAGTCTCACGTGGGCCCCGCGAGCAGGCTTACAAAATTCATCGTGGGCGTTCCATGAGCAGATCCTGACAAAACCGAGCCAATAACATACCTGCAACGCTGATGATCAACAGCGCTACAATACTCCAACTGCTCCCAGTCGACCGATGCACTGACTTGGCGTAAGGGATCTTGTGCTGCAGGGCATAAAAACAAATATTGTGATGATACTTTTCCTGGACAAATCCAGCACGTACATAATGGCGCGGAACCGAGTGGCCTCAAGAGGCCTCGGAGTGGTCGCACAGTCAAGTGCGCCACCAGGCTGCGAATGTCTCCATGTTTCATAACTCAGAGAAATAAATCGAACATGGAAGCGAATCGCTACACGCCGAATCGCTACACGCGTACGCACCGAACCAGCGTCGTGATGTGGTCAAGTCCGCCGCATCAAGGAACGCCCGCAGCACACATGCGGAGCGGGCATGCCATCCCCAGGGCCTATGTCATTGCAGTGCCTTGCTGCTGCAGTGCACCAGCGCTCAGATGACGCGATGCAGACGCTGAAGATGCCACACTCGCCATCGCTCGGACGTCCATTCCCTGTGTTTTTTCGGTTTCGTGCGTGGTCTTTTCGCCAAATGATAAAGGATGGTCCTCGATGGTCCTCGCCGAAGAAAAAAAACACACGTCCGAGCGATGCCAAGGCCACAGGGGAACCGGCAACCTGTCCTGCCGAGAGACCGTCATCGCACCTCCATCCAAGAGCCGAGCTTGCAACGTCAGGCCTGTACGTGTGCCACCCCTCCCCCTCCATTGAAGGGGCTCCAGGACACACAAATAAATACACACACATAAAAATATTCCCAATATTCTCCCATATGTTCTGGGTGTCTGTCTTCCCCCGACACTTCCCATAGTTTCCAATCTTTTCTGGAGAATCGACGATTACTTGTGTCTGTGTTTTTTTCCCTCCTGATCTGTGATTCTTTCAAATGCATACTGCCCGTCGTGAACAGATAGTTGGGGCACCCCCTTGTCCAACACAAACGCTGCGTTCGACCATCCCTGCGCGTACCCTGCAATCCTCGGAACCTGCTCTTTCTCCTCCCTCACGGGGCGCTTGCATGAGAACAGTCTTGGACCGTCTTGGACCACTGTGGAGCCGTATTGGGATTTCCTTAGGGGCCCTCGTGCGGCCTTTCGAAGCGGCGGTGTTGGGCCACTCTCTGAGGGCTCTTTCGAGGCCTCGTGGGCGATCTTGCGCTCCTTGGAGGTACAATAACTGGTCAGGAGAAAATTCGGGCATCCTCTCCTGTTGCGGCTGTTGTCGGCCCAAGACGGCCCAGGCGCCCTCCAAGAAAGCCCCCCAAACGGCCAAAGAGGGCCTCAACATGGCCAAAGAGGCCTCCAGAGCCCCATGGCGACCCAAGATACTCCCAAGACTTTCCTGCAACGGAGCCCAAGAGGCCAAGACTGTCCAGAAATGCCCTACCGGCCGACCGCAAATTCGCCAAGCGTCCCAACAATCCCACTGCGTAGAAGACGAAGGCACGTCACGGAACAGTCTGCCACAAGCTACGCCTCTCTAGTGGCTAAGAACGGCACGTGCACCTCCTTCTCGCCCCCCCTACTCCTGTGGGCGACACAGGGTCACATGCAACGACCCTCCTCCTACTCATCGTCTTCCTCCTCCTCCTTATCCTCATTCGCTGTGCCACAAGATTTATCACCCTCCTCCACATATTTATCCTCACCCACATCCTCCTCCTGCCCGACGTCAAATGTACGCATGAGGGTTTTCGTCCTCCTCCTCCTCCTCCTCCTCCTCCTCCTCCTCCTCTCTTCCCGCCTCATCCTGCTCGTCGCCATTCGCTCGGATACGGTATTACCTTCTACGCCCACTTGCTCTGGCTCCTCCTGTGCACAACAAGAGTCACGCGTGACGGCCTCAATGGCGACACGCGGAACCTGTGACGGCCGTCCCCGTGCTCTCCCTCCTCCTCCTCCTCGGCTCTGGGCCTCATCGTCCTCATCGTCTTGCTCGTCCGTCTCCTCGTCCTCCGAGAGGCGGCACATGTCACCCGTGACGGCCTGCTCGGCGGTGCTCGCAAGGGCGCCACATAGAGGGTTACGCTGGAGCGGACTCCGATTCACGGGCGATCACAGGTACTCCTAGGCGCTCGCGGTGCGGCCAACGCTACAAGTCCTGAAGCGTCGGAAAGGTGGCTGGGATCCCACAGCTCCAGCTCAAAGCCCAAGTTTGTATCGGAGCCCGTCATGAAATCCTCTTGGGCACATCTTGGCCAGTGCTGAAGCCCGGGCGGCCCGTGCAAGAGGTCTACAGTATTGAGAAGGCGTCTCCTCGCCCGCTCGATCGTGAGAGCGCCCAGTACGACCCGATCGGCCCTCAAGATCGTCCACGCCCTCGAAGAAGCCCCGAAGAGAATACCCAGATGGAGGCCTCCCAGATGGGGTCCGAATACGCCGATGCGTCGGTGACGTCGGCAATGCATCGACGTCGGCGTGGGGAAACACGGTCTCCACATCGAGCCGCATCGTCGATGCATCGGCGATGCATCGGCGATCCTCCGACACCATCTACTCGGACCCCATCTAGGAAGCCTAGACCAGAGGGCTCCAGGAGGGAACTACCAAACTGTCGGCGTGAGCCCTGGACCCGAACATGGTGTCCGAGACCCTCAGGAACTTCGTGGGCCCTGGAAACGACAGGGCCGTTTTTTTACTGGTTCCGTTTTGCCATTTGTTTACCAGTTCCGACGCCGTTTTTTTACCGGTTCCGTCGCCGTTTCTTGACCGGTTCCGGCTCCAATTCCAATCCTGGAACCGTTTTTTTGCTGTTTCGGGTCGCCGTCTTTTTGCCGTCTCCATTTTCAAGGGACTTCTTTTCGGCAGCGGTGAAAAAACGGCTCTGCCGTTTCCAGGACCCACAAAGCTCAGGAGGTCCCAAGCGACCCCCGAGAGGCTTCAAGGAGGCCTTCTGGAGCGCCCCCACCCCCCCTCCTCCTCCTCCTCCTCCTCCTCCTCCTCCTCCTTCACTCCTCGCCCCCAGCCTGTTCGGCAGGACAAAGGTAAGAGTCGAGGCCGAGGCAAGCGTGGCAAAAGCAAGACAGCGGCATAGATATTCCAACGTGCTCCGGAAACGCTGTTCCGGAGCACGTTAAAGTGCTCGCTGCTAAACGTGCAAAGGCAAGACTGCTGCACATAATTATATATCCGAGTGCACGCATGCCCCTAGCCTGCCAGCGCAGGAGTAGGGTGCGTGCAGTGTCAGAGTGCTGAATGGCACCCGCGCACTTGTGCGTAGCGAGGGGGCTTGCCCCGACAGATCCAGATTGATGCTGCAATTTTTTTTCCACACGGCAAGAGGTAGTGTCAGAGGCAGTTGGCGACACGTTGGATCCAAGTCATAGTCAGTTAGTCAGTCCTCCTCCTCCTCCTTCCTTCCTTCCTTCCTTCCTTCCTTCGTTCCTTCCTTCCTCAGGCAGAAAAGAGGCCTCTGGTCCATAGTCCGTGCTCTGTGGCGGGATCGGCCGAGGGTCTCACCAGATCTGCCGGCCCCCGCCGCTTGCAAGAAGGGTTGATGTCGTGCCATATGAAGGGGCCCTGGGACACACAAACAAATACACACAATAAAAATGTTCCCCATATTTTCCCATATTTTCTGGGCCTCTGTCTCCCCCCCCACTTCCCATATTTTCCAATATTTTCTGGGGAGTCGACGATTAATTGTGTCTGTGTGTTTCCTTCCCTCCTGACCACAGTTGAACGCTTCGAACATGTTCCCAGTGGCACGGTCCAAGCGGTCCCTGGTGCGCTCCAAATTACTCCAAAAAGAAGATCCGGAAGGTTCACAGGAATCCAACACTGACTGCTCGTCTTACAGACGTTCCTGTTCTCGCCATTCTGAGCTCCTGGCAAGCTCAGACCGCCCCGAGAGTCAAACATATACACACGTTGAGCGGCCCGAGAAGCCTCCAAGAGGGCCCCAAGATGGACCAACCAGCCCCTCAGATGGCTCGAAGAGGCTCCAGAGCCCTCAGATAGCCCGAGACGGCCCCAGAGACCTGTCAGACGGCCCTAAAGCGTTCCAAGATGACCCAGTGAAGCCCGCGCCCTTTGTAGATCCCCAGGGTCCTCAAGTAGCCCCAAGGGGCCCCCAAGGGGCCCCAGGAAGCCTCCTCGATGAGTCCCTCAGAGGACCCCACCAAGCGGCCCTCGGGAAGGCCTCAGGAGGCCCAAGAGGCCCCCAAGAGGCATCATATTTCTCTTCCTCCTGCGCCCTCTCCTGCTCCTCTCTTTCTCTCTCGATACCTTTGTCTCTCTCTCTCTCTCTATCCCTCTCACTATATTGTTTGTCTCCCTCTCTCTCTCTTGTTAAATATGTGTTGTTTCCTCTCTCTCCATCTCTCCCTTTCTTCCTCTCCCAAATGTTCCCGCACAAGGGTGTTCACAACGCCGCGGAGAACCTGTGTTCCAATAGCTTGGCAAGACTTCGGCCAATCGTTTGCTAGGGGCGCCGAAGGCCCGAGCCGAATGCCCCTAGGGAGGAGGCCCCCCCCCTGGGGGAGGAGGAGAGCGTTTTCTAGCTGCGGCGGCGGCCCTAGTGGCGGACTCGGAATTTCGAGCATACCTTCTCGGTCTTTTGGCTACGATCAAGTGTAATATATGTTCTTATCAGTACGACAACTGGTATGTCTCCAACTGGAGACTTGCTTGTCGCATTGAGTTCTTCTGGCGTATGAGTGTCTCCATAAAGGCAGGGGACGACGAAAGGCTTGCCGTAGGCGCCTTCGATACCTGGGACTGCGACCTTCCACTGCCGTATGCCATGACGAGTTCACCAGCTCGCGGGAGACCGGGGCACTTAGTGGGCCCTGGAAACGACAGAGCCGTTTTTTTACCGGTTCCGTTTTGCCGTTATTTTCCAGTTCCAACGCCGTTGATTTACCGGTTCCGTCGCCGTT